TTTTAAAAGACTGATATCAATTGATAATATATAAATAACAGAACAAAAAAGCATTAAAAATTAAAGGTCCGTGTTCTTGTAATTGAGATATAAGCCATTGAAAATATGGCGGGTAATGAATTTTTCTAGATTTTTCATATATTTAACATTGGCATCTTGTTTCTTTCAAAAACTGAAAAATGACAAGGATTATATAATATCTTCAAAACTGGCCTTTGAATTTAAATTTTTTGTTATAAATCTATTAAAAGAAAGGTAAGGGTTAGCCGGCAAAATTTTTAATAGCACTACATGGATAAAACTAGAGGATTCTGAATATCTGACAAAAAATCAAAAACAAGAGTAGCAAACATCATTCATCAAATAAAAATGTAATAAAAATCAATAAAAATATATTCCAATCTACGATGATTAGTATGATATGAATAATGAATTTTTGGCACAAATATTTCGAATAAGACAGAAAATGTTTAGTTTTAATGATGTTTAAATGAGTTTAGGCTTCAACTATCACAATGCTTACAATGGACGCTGCATTCTGTCTATACTTTGGTATGTCCATGTAGAATGTACAGTGAAACCTGTCTAAACCGAATCTTCAAAACCAAAAACCTGTCTAAACCAAACATGTTCTTAAGTCCAGTCATTTATACTTTTATGCGTTGTGAACCTGATTAAACCGAACACCTGTCAAAACCGAACAAAATCATGAGTCCCGAAGAGGTTCGATTTAGACAGGTTTCACTGTATAGAGTTTTGCAAATATTAACATAGATTAAAGGTATGCACTTTCATAACTTTTATACACCCTTCAGCCCCTCCCTCCGAAATTATTGTGTTTCCGCTTATGAGTTAGAGAAGGGTGTTTTCTTCTTCTTTAGGATTTGTCCTATAGATGCCATCCTGGGAAAACAGTTCATCTTGATTTAGACAGTGATTTGTTTTAATTCTTATAGAAATATAAAAAATATAAGAATCTTCACTAAAAAGGGAGTCAATTGAGTAAGAAAAACTCATATTTGTTTTTTTCTATAACGAATATATTGTTATTTTGCCCCAATTATTAATAAGGGCATACTACGATGGTATACGGTTTATGAACAATCCTAGGCTATTAATTGGGGAAATAAAAATGTTTTCTTTGTGTTCCTACATTTTGCCATAATTTAGGGGTCGATTATACCAGGTCCCGTTCACTTCCGCTGCTCTTACCTTACGAAATTACTTTATATTCAAGTTAATGCATCTATCTTAAATGTGAGTTCATGCCATGTTTTTTTACGGGTAAATGTGTTCCCAGTGATTGAATGTGTCTGTATTAGCTTTCTTATTACATCGAACAACAGGGAACCAGTCTGTATCCCAGTTGTATGGGAAAATAGGATTAATGATAGCATGGAAGTATTATATTGTCAAATATAATACTTCCATGATTCTACATACCAAAATCGGAAAAATAAAAAAAAAAATAATGTCAGTTGAATACAAAACCATTTAAAAAAATAAAACATTCACATTTCAACAAGCTGTACTATTTAAATGTGCAATAAATGGGAAAAAGACAAAATTATAGAAAATGACTGCAAGTATATATCAGTATCACATTTTGGTTTAATGCCACATAGAATTAAAACCTGAGTCTACTGAAAACATTTTTTCGCTATTTTTTTAAAGTTCTGAAATTACACAACTTTTCCGTCACAATCCAGTTGAAGCTATCTGGGGCCCTGTTTAAATAATGTTTTGTTCATAAAACTTTTTCAAAGAGACATGTTTATACCATTGTAAACACTTCAAACAAAGCATTTTTATGACTTTAGGCTGTGTTTCACAGATATGTATCATGATCTAACAAAATTTCAAAATGTTCACTTTCTAAACTTTTTCTTCAATCAGCTCATTACTAATGATCTTTATTTTTTTGCGACACTTGACCCAAACAGGAAGTTGTCTAAGAGACTGTTTTTTTCCGGAATGGACTAAATAGCGATAAGATGTATTGTAAATCATAGTAGTGATACAAGAACATCTGTTAATTAAACGTAAAAATAAAAAAATCGAATATAGGATGTTTAACAAAAAAATTCATATACAAATAGAACAATTGTTTCTAATATTTTGAAATTCTAAAATTCAGTAGGGTTTTGTGACATAAGAAAAATCATTACAAGAAGTCAAAAACATGTAATTGAAAAAAAAAACGATTGATTGATTGGTATTTAACGTTGGGTAAGCGTATATAGGCAAAATCACTCAAAATGAAGAAGAAATATGAAGTATATAAAATTTACTATCTGAGAAATTCATGGTTGCTTTTGATTAAAAAAAAGGAAACATGCTTTTAGGTCATATGTATCAGAAATCAAAAATACATGTATATCATCTATAAATATTAATAAACAATTTGAATCTAAAAAGGAAACAGAAGAACACCTAAGGTTTATTTTGAGCGGTTGTTTGACATAATACACACAGCTTTTATACCAATAAAGGTCAGACCGTGAACACATACGAGCGTTAACTCTATACTAGCAAATTGACAATCTGGCAGTCAACATTGCATTGTACAAAAATGGACAAAAATTTACGATTCTGCTCTTGATTAATATGATTTAAGCTCATGGATATTTACATACACTCTGTAGACTCTGTTTTACTACAGTTTTGAAAAGAGGTATAAAATTAGCAATTATTTGACCCTTATGATTTTTGTTTGAATTAATAAACTATCTTTATCATTTTCCTCTTTTCTCCGCAAGGTTCGGTAATTTTCCACTTAAAAAAAGGGGAGTTCCAGCATAGTTCTGTTGATTTTGAAATAAGGAAGGATTAAAACTACCGGATCTGAAAATTTACAATAATATGTTTCCTTTAATGGCGGCAGTGCAAAACTCTCTATACGGTGGCAGTGGTCAATTCTCTACACGGTGGCATTAGTCAATTCTCTATACGATGGCTGCAGTCAACAATACACATTTGCAGTGCCTAACTCTCTACACGGTGGCAAGGATCAACTCGCTACACGGTGGCAGTTGTCAACTCTTTACACGATGGCTGCGGTCAACTTTGTGCACGCTGGCAGTGGTCAACTAAACGAAGGCGTTGGTCAATTTTCTACACGGTACGAGTAAATACGCCAACAAAATAGAAAATCTGTAATATTATCCTTTTAAAGTAAAAAAGAAATACAAAAGAGCAAAACTAATAAGGTATTTTGTAAAAATATCTTAAATCAATGCCCACTATCCGTTTGACCTAGAAACAAACTATAATAATCATAATAATCATAATAATCATAATCATGAAAATAAATACACATAAAATAAAACAAATAGCGTGGAATCATTATTTCTCATCGGATACCAATTTTCGTGGATTTCGTGGGTAAAGGTGTACCACGAAATCAAATGTTCAACGAATAACAAATTTCCTATAGTCTTACATGCAGACTTTGGCAAAACCACGAAATCAAATATTCACGGAAAAGCAAGTTTTCCTCAATCCACGAAAATTGGTACCCACGAAAGTTGGTACCCACGAAAATAATTGAATCCACAGTAGTAAAAAAGTTGAGCTAACTTTTTCAGATTTAAAAACAATGTTTAACATTTCCCACTACTCATCAAATCTAGAAAAAAAAACCTTTGTAAACAATTTACGCATGGTATTGGCGATGTTTTCATATCCATTCATTCGTTACCATAACTACATCGGAGGGGGTTAACGACCATTACTACTCAACATGCTCAAGTAAGTTTGCGATAACATTGATAATTTCCATGTTAAATCAAAATGAAAAAATAATACAAATATACAAAAATACACTTCAATGTACACGAAATACATATTGTAAAAGTATAAAAAAAAATTGGTCCCTTTCCAGCTAAAATTTGTTATAAAAATAAAAAGTTTGGTTATCTGGAATTATTCCTTAATATATATACATACAAAACAATATATAAACACATACATATACATTGTATATAAATGGTCAATTTCGTGATTAAATTGGATGAATATGAAATTAAAAAAGACCAGAAAATGGCCAGGATTACATATTGAATCCCATTGAATTATGCGCATGATGTGTGTGATGTGGAATGAATATTACAAATTATTTAGGACTTTGTAAGTATACAAGAAAAGGCATGGCACATGCTAGAATTAAATAATGAATTGTTGAACATTAATCATGTTAATTAACAAACAAAATTGGATTTTTCGGCACACTGAATAACCTGCGTAGCGGATTATTTAAAAGTGTACACCACATTTTTGAGGTTATTTCGAATAGACAGAAAAAAATATTACAGTCATTCCTTATAATTTAATTCTGAATTCCATTTTTAAGGAGTAAATCACGAAAAACCGTTGATGACGTCACGGTCACATGACAAAATTATGTCTATGAGCTGATAGACATAAACCTTTCAGCCAATCAGAAGACGTGTTTCATCATGTTCATCCAAATTAAATTATTCCAAATTGAAGCCGTGTCATTGACAAATATCATCTTGACTATTTTAAAAGTTAGTTCTGCACGAAGGGAGAATTTCACAAGAAAACTTAAAAAAACAAATTCTTTTAATAAAAGTTCTAACGAATTTTAATGGGACTGTTTACTTACTTTTCGTGTTAGAACATTGTGTAGTATAAGATATATTGAATGTTTTGTCTGTTGTTTTATTAATGACCAGCGGCAAATATTTCATTAATAATCATCATACTATTGACTTATTGAAGCAAAAAAATGTTTGAAAATGTAAAAAAAATCATAAAGAACAGATAATTATACTAGTCATGCTAGTGCTAATTTTCTATTGCTACTCAATTCGATGTGTTATAATTTTCAGTATACTTGAAAGTAAACTATTCGTACAGTAACGTGTTTAAAGATATGCCATTTCTTTACTTCTCACGAGTGATACATTTATCATGATTTGGTGGTCCCCGGCTGCATCAATGTGTCAATATGTTTACTATACAACTTTATGAACAAGTCATTGAAAGTATTCTTTAAAAAATAGTTGAACAATAGTATGACAATTCAAAAATAATAAAAAATCTTCTCTTTACTTTATCTGACAGTAGTACTAATATAATGAACATTTCGACTTAAAGAACTTTTCTGCTTAATCTATGACACATACACATAGGCTACAATTGGTTAAGTATTTAACGTGAAAAATGGAACAAGTGTCTGTTTCAATGGTCAATAACCGACAAGTTCTTGAACTATTTTTCTACGGTTCACCTTTTTCAGCTAACAGTTCTGTTAAACGTCTTATAGTTAATGCGCAATACTTCAAAAAATCTACTTAAAAAACTTCAAACTGATAAAACATCACTAATTGTCTTCAAAAGTTTTTTTTCTATATCTACAACGGAGATCCTAATTCCACGCACAATCTATGGCAAATTCATTAAAATGTCCGTATCTGTCATCAATGTCTTATGAAACGTCATACGGTGTCTTTGATATATAACCGTCGTTGTTTACCTTTCCATTTTTCACGGGTTCTGTATCGATTACTTCCGGTTTCTTTGCAGTTCCATATTCCTCTTTGAACAATTTCCATAAACTTATTACAAGATCAGAGAGTACCATACCGGAACTGTTTTTTTCTATCACACGCAAGACAAAAATGCCATCGTTTCTTAAATAGTCGTCAGCAAACTTCCTAGCTAATTTTTTGTCAAATCCCGTTGAAATCTCGTTGCAAAGGTTCAAGTATTTCTTCACATAACGAGTTCTGTTCTCTTTGAATAAAGTGTAATACAGCCAAGAAGCGAAATTAAAGAATGTGAGAAAGGCCATAAGAAACAGCCAGAACCAAAGAAAAATGAAAATTTTCTCGTTGAATAGGTTTAACGGCAGGACGCATTGAACTGTATAGCGATGGTGATTGCTCAATTGTCGGATGACGAAATCACACAAAGTCACGCGAGGAAAACGCGGTGATGGTGTCCATTCTCCATTTGTAAACAGGTAGCTCATTACTTCGAAGCCAAACACATTGTAGTCAGTTGCCATGAAAGCATTAAGAAGAAAGAACTGTCCAACTACATTTGCTGCATATAAAAACTTTATAAAAATGTAATATCCAGTTAAAAATGTGCCATCACGCTTCCCTAAACAGAAAATTATGACGCTGGAAACACGACGACGCATACGTACGAGGGCGTTGTCATGGAAATCTCTTTGGCTTTCAATCCATCGGTGCATATATTTTGCAATGTGCGATATATTTTTCTGTCTGTCGTCAGGTGCCGACATAAGGGTAGACTCTGACAAAGTGCAAATCTTGTCCATATTTATGCCGGAATATCCATTTAACAATTTCCATGCTATATTTGGTACTTTGAACATGAGCGCTTGAAACAATAAAATAATCGGTACCCACTGGTAGTAAGTTATTTCCGCTTCCTGTCTTGTGGCGATGTTTTCTGGAATAACATCACCTTGAGGAATGTAATATGTGTTTGAAATCCAACATATAGATTTTGCGTAGGAATTAAATTGTCCTGTGAATTCTGCAGGTGTCCAACACTGTATAGCATCCCCTAATATATATTGACCGGAAGTGACTACAATTGCAAAGAGTGCTAATAAGAGAACTGTCCATATATGGTTCACTCTATCGATCCAGTCATCGTCCGCAGATCCCGAGACACTGCTCCAAGATACAATACTCCCCAATGCCCCAATCCTGAAAAAAAAAATAACATAAATGCATAAAAATACCAAACAGTCAAGATAATTGATTATCCACGACGGGCTAAAGGTTCAAGGTCACATAATTCCAATGTTTCATGTTTAGTCATCTTGTTTCGTTTCAAACCGTCATGATAACCAAAATGTTTCACTAATGTATCAACCCGTTTCATGCCGAAAAGAGTATTAAATTGTATTGTAAGTATTGATATTTTTTTTGTTGATTTTTTTTGTTGGCATTTTACTTTTTTTTTAGTTCTAAAGGTTAGTTGTACAGCATTACATGACGTGTTGACTTGTCCATTCCCTCAAAAACATACCAGTTTCAGTGAATCAGTAGAGTTAACTCATCATTAAACTCTTTCGAAACAACCTTAATTACTATAGTCATGATAATATGTGTCCTATAATAGGAAATTAATAGTTTCTTTAAAATAATAAAATACACGAAACTAATAAAATGTAAGTTGTGTAAGTGTTAGTAACAGTTATATAGAATTATCCTGTTCTTACTCCATTGAAACTCTGATTCTACCAATCTGAATAAATTATACAGATCCTGTGTCTACGCTTCGCTTACAATGATCTAAAAACGCTCCGTTCTTCTTTTTTTTTTAAATGCCTTTCGGAATCCTCATGATTTGTCGTAATGATACACAAAGCGAAGCGTGGGCACATGAACTGTACTTCAATCAGATAGTGATTCTATAATATTTGCAAACTTCCATAAAACACTCAGCTTAATTCCAGTAAATTTTGTGAATTTCTGGACGTATGTTGCAGTAACAGTAAATGTCATTTATTCAATTTACAAATCATGAGAGTGAAAACAATAACAAGTAAAACTGTGAGCTAGAGTTGCTCACATATGATACCCTCGCTTTAAGTATTCGGTAAACAGGAAGTTGAATAAAAAAAAAATAATCGGAAAACGCATTACATGGTAAATGAAAGTATATTCACTTGAAACTTGATAGCAAATTTTAGGAAGCTTTTATTTGTACTTTCCTAGAAAAATACCACGAAAACTTACATGCCCATTACGTTTAGAAAATATAAGTATTCGGTCAACAGGAAAATGATGAGTGATGAACCTGAAACTGCGTCATTCGGTAAAGCATGTTGACATGAAGCCTGATAAAATATTTTAGGAATCTATTATTTGTAGTTCCTTAGAAAAATCCAACGGGAATTCAATGGGATGTACTGTCATACGGACGTTGACAGGTCGGGATAAAAAGTATACCCCTCTTACGGAGCTGGTGTATAACTATAGCAATGCAACAATGCGTTTAAAAATGCCGTTAATAGTTCATTGTTTGCTTACATAACAATTCGTTCCATAAGTGCTTATCTTTCTCCTGATAAAATTTGACTCGATTCTCTAAATTGCAACAACATGAGCAGTGACTAATATATATATATATGTTCCACGTTAAATCGTGTACATAAGGACAACCGTTATGATATTAGGGAGCTACCATTTGATTTTTATGGGGGGGGGGGGGGGGGGGGGGGGGCTAGGATGAAAAATTTTGTCCTGCATTTTTTTTAGCTGAAATCTCTGTCCTGCCTTTTTATTTTTCACTCTATTCAGTCCTGTCTTTTTTTTTTAGTTTATCCTGACTTTTCTTTACCTAAATTGTCGTCCTGACTTTTTTTTTTGCAAGTGTCTCATCCTGCCTTTTTTTTTACTCAAAACTCCTGTCCTGCCTATTTTTTTAAATTTCATCCTTGCCCCCCCCCCCCCCCCCCATAAAAATCAAATGGTAGCTCCCTTACGGAATAATAGAATCTATAGCTCAATATAGTAATAAGGAGATGTGGTATAAACTATGATTGCCAATATGAAAACTATTCAACAGAGTTCAATTGAAGTGGATATATGCAATAATAGGTCAAGCTTAACGTTGGATAAATAATAATATTAACTGTATAAATTTAAACGCGCAAAACGAGCTTTTCAACCATAAATGTCTGTTAAGGGATGCTCGAGGTCTAAATGTTTGAACATCTAAACTCTAAAACAAACGTTAAAGAGCTGATAAAACCAAAAAGGAACAAAAGTATAGTCAAACAAGGACAAGGAATTAGAGCTATGCATAAAGGAGTTACATTCCTGACTATAAGTATGCTGATCTGTCATTGACAATGAAATTTCAATGGTATTTTTACATTCGGTATAGCTGTTAAAAGATGGATTTTAAGACAAGACAGTGAACGTATGCAACAGATCTAGATAATGATAAAGCAAATTATAAAACTAACGGCTTTCGAGACAGTTACTATACCATTAGACCAGCAGAGACCATGTTATTTTTGCTCTATTCGTGATATCGGTGATGAATTTCATTTCATCTTCCATTTCGAAAGAATTTAAAATGTGAGAAATATTACTTTCGCAAAATACAAAGCTGCAATATATACTCAATCCATCAAATTTTAGGTACAAAGTCTAGGTTCCATTTTAAAACGGTCAATGGAACTGAGGACAAGCCCCAGGGACTCTAAATTGACTGACTTTAATAAAATTTGTTGTATATATGTTGTAATTTGTATTTTGTTTTCACAAGCTGTACTTTATGTGTCAATATTTTATTAAAGTCTTACCACTTATAATTTCTTTAATAAACACATAAAACATGCATCTATTTTTTAAAGATACCATTAAATATTATGTAATACTGTTTAATATATCTTCTCATATAACTCCTACATAACATTGTGTAAAATAACTTCAAGATGAGAATGTTAAAAGGTATTTAGTCTACTTAAAATTTTGAAGCAGGTCTTGTCAACCACACCATAACACATGTTATTTTGAAATACATGCACACAGTTTTCGTCATCCGATTAGATATTAAAATCTGTTTTACATTTCATTGTTTCACTTTATCAGCAAAATATTACGTAAGTCTTCAAGAATATGTTTACATTACGAAACCATAGCATGACACATTAAAAATACTTTTATTTTCACAGCGACCTGTTTCGATTTTCAACGGAGCAACAACACATTTTAATTTAGCAAAGGCACTTACTATAATGGTCTGGATGGAGGGGGTGTCCTTAATTTCTTTATTCTTTTAAATTTTTTAGACAATTTTTTTCTCTATACTTTGTATTTTTTGTCCATTATTCTCTATTCTTCATATTTTTTGTCTATTATTCTCCATTCGTTATATTTTAGCGCCCTATAATTCTCTATTTTTAAAATGTTTTCGACTATTTTTCTCTATATATTTTGCACTTAATACCCATTATTTTTTATTCAGTTAACCCAATCCAGACCCTCTTACATTACCAGCCAAGTCATGACCTTTCGTTTACGCCTTTATTCTGAAGAAGAACGACCTTTTCGATTTTCGAAGGAGCTTCAACGCATTGAAATTCGACAAGAGCACTTTAAAATATGTAGGATATTTATTTAGACAAATATAAATAAAAAATAAACTTTTCACGTCACACTGCACGGTTTTTAAGTACTATACATGTATTTAAAATGAAATAAATTGAACCTGAAAAAAGTGAATGCGACAAACTTAGTGACCGGCGGTTAATTTAGACTGCTCTACGCGCTTATAGTAGGATGTCAATTGCACTTTGAAAGTGTTTACGTAAAACTGCTCTATAAAAAATAAGGATCAGAAAAATTGACTAATGTCAATATTATTTATCACTTGAGTTATAGACTTCATAATAGTCTGCTTGTAATTATTTTCATACGACATTTCACTACTTAATCTTTAGACTGCTAATAGCTTCCGGTTGGCAATCGACAGCTTCCGGGGACACTGACTGTGAGGTTTGGATTATTTTAAAGTGTATGTACTTTTCCTGAGATCGGATTTTGAAAGCTTACACAAAAACACGACAAATCTCCACTCTTAAAATTTCGAGACTTAAATTTATAAATTATCTGGCTCAAGAGTTATGGGGTAATGTCGAAAGGTTGTTTGACCGAAATACGAATCAAACCGAATGGAAATAATATTGCGATTTTAGGTCACCAGATTTCGAGAAAAAATTAAGAAAAAAGAGGCAAACATATTAAAGGAAACAGTATAATCGGGTACTAAAATGTAAAGAATAGAGAATGATTGGCAACCCCCCAAGAATAGAGTTTAGTGACACAAAGAATATGGAAATGAAGACTTCCCTCCCCAACCCCAATATAGACCCCTATTAGTCACTCATTTGGGAGAAGTATAGAGGCAGATACGACAAAAAATGAATAAAGAACTTCATGGATAAAATCACCACTAGAACTCCTCCAATCGATCACCAGTTACCTGTTTCTAAAGAGCGAAAATATACTGTGGGAGGGAAACAAATTGTGCGTTAAAAACGATACGGGCACTCTTTTCGATATGTTCTTCTCAAAATGCTTTACAAGAAACTGTTCCTTAATCAATTTCCAAGTGTATCCTTGTAAACATTTCTATTTCGTAGGTAAAGACAGTTTCTTGAATCAAGACCGGATTTAGTGTTAGCCAAAATTGGTATTTACCGGTCATTTTACAAGGAACAGGGATGGCTTTCATAAAAACACCGGAAACCAGTGTCACGTTTTGCTTCAATCACTCCTTATGCATATCAAACTTCAACACTGTTCCAGAATCATATCTGATGTGTTTTATTTTTTAATTTTCACACTATCATGATCCTCCTTTACCGTAGTAAAATCCCAAACTGTTTGCCTTATCTCCGTTTTTCAGGAAACACGGACATGCATTCTATATTTGGCAGACATTCATAGCTTTTTTTAGAATTTCTTATTAAGGAACGGAAATTGAATAATAAGAACTTTATTCAAAACGATATTTTGAGAATAAAAAAGAAGGAAAACATTTCAAGAATCCTTTTTCAACATTTACGTGCTGAAAAAGTAGGTAGGTTTCTAAGAAACTCCAAAACATCTTTTGTTAAAACGTTTGCTTCTGATTTGGGAAATACGTAACAGGTAAACACATGTTCAGCCCGACTATACTTTAC